CGGCAGGGGATCGAACCACGGACCATGTGCATGGATGGCGAGAGTCCTAACCGCTGTACCACAGTCCTCTCCAAATGGATTACCACCAGCTGTGTGTATTGCACCACCTGTGGCAGAATAATCATAATGCGGAAAAAGGCTATTTCAAGGTGACCATAAAGATGACTGAATCAAGTTTTACACCTCATATGATGCTCCGTAACAATGATTTTCATGTAAGCTCAAACCAATAATTTCCTAACATCTCCTGTCTTTTCTATCTAATCCTTCTGTCCGCCCTCTTTGTTTATTTAGTCTCTTCAAAACTTTACTTGCTGTTACTGTATTTGTTACATCTTACTAGACTATATGGAACGACACAAAGAGGTGTCATGGTCTGAATACAGACTACAAACTACCCATCACATTTAGCCGAAATTCGTTCCCTCTCAGAGTCTTGTTGACTGCTTGGAAATTCTAAAAATTCAGAAAAAGTGACCACAACGCCAAGAGACGTGGAGATATCAGTTCACTTTGTAACGGTTCATAAAAGTGGCGTTGGATGTCTAATATTGGAAGTGAAACTACCCTCGATGCTGAAGGTCATTCGACGGGCCAATTTAAAATTCTTACAAACAGCAGCTTAGAAGCATACGTAGGTGTGGCAGTAAGTACTATTGGTTCAGAAAAAGGCATGAGAGTCAACTCTGTGACTCAAGAGGGTCAATAAACACCTAGACTTGATAAGAACGAAGGCAAAATAGCTGCGCATACGCATTCTAGTCTTTGGAATTGTACGCAGCACATGTTTTTACCGAACACGCGTTCTGATTAAATCTCTTGTGTGTTTGCTATATTCATTCGTTCTTCTTAAATAAAGTGACTGGTACCACTGGCTATGTACCAATGGATTCCAATCTGATCAAATTTCATGTGTATTGCAATACATATATATATGTTGCAATACATCTGTCCCACGTTAGTCTGTGCGCCCGAAGTTTTATGCACCTGCGGTTCTGCAGTGCACCCTAAAAATGCTGGCTGGGATGCACGCGTTAATCCTTTTCTAATAAGTTCATGTTGCTTGTCTGAACCTTTAAAGGTCTGCAGTCATATTTTGGGACTATAAACGTGGATTCACTTTGCCTGCAGTATTTGCGGGAGAAGAGATTCAAACTGGTAACTCTTTCTTCGTATGGGGAATTTCTCATATCAGGATCGTACGTAACCAGTTGATTTCTAACCGTGATACTTCCTTAGGTTCCAAGTGGAAAGTGAAGTTTAAACAGCACATTTGTAGAAGATTAGAGAACTTTATAGCGATCTGGGTAACGGGCTAAATACTAAAATAAAAATCCAAGTTTAATAAAATGATAGTGTAACAGTATATTACTAAAAAGTGCAGTTAACGAGTTGTATAAATTAGTGGTTACTTAGTGGCACAGTTAAAGTTCACTGGTACAAATTGTGAATATAATCAAAGGAGATGTTCACTGCTGGAGTTGTGTTTACTTATAGAAGCTGCGCAGCAGTTGTAGAATAGTCTTAGGATGAGTATGAGAGGTTCCTGCAAAATCCAAGGAATACAACACGGTTAGTAGCGAAACATGCTCACAGTATGAACCAAAGGGAAGACGAAGCGTCAAGCAGCACAGTGTATTTTAAACTGTACTCCGAAGTTATGTGTATTTTACTATGATTCGTTTTCAGCAAAATTTATGTACAGTGTTCCTATTTTTAGCATCTAACAGAAAACTGCACAGTCATATCATTCCAGACTCCATACATCTCCACTTCGCTTGGTTCTTTGTTGTCCTCTCTAGTTGGCTCGACGGCTGTCCATAAGATTAAATCCCATCCTCACACAATATCCTCCATGACACTAGGGGCGCTCAACTCGTCCTCTCCCAGTTAGGTCCTCAACAGTTTCTTCACCTTGTCTTCAATTCGTCTACATTTCTTGGTGTGTTTGTTCCCAGAGTTCTTTGCTACTAGTCTTTCCTAGGTGGTCGCCTGACCTTCATTGGGGAGCCAGCCAGCAAAGGCAGCTGTTGATTAAATCCTGCAGTAGCCTGATGGAAGTGCTTTTTACGACGCGCCAAGTCTGTGAACCATATAGATAGGAGCACTAACTGAAAATCCAAATCTTGTTCTTTATGCCTGGTGCAGTGAATTTTCGTACTCATTTCAGATTAGTAAAGGTCACTTTCGCCTTTCCGATCCTTGCTAGCCTTAATATCCTCATCTGTACCACCTGCAGCTGAAATGATGCTGCACAGAGATAAGTGAGAGGTGACTTCCTTTGGATTTCTCCTTTTGATAGTGATTGGCATTTGTTGATGGTTGGCCAACTGGTTTACCAACTGTGTCCTACATCCACTTGAAGTAACGTCTTCTCTCTCCCTTCCATCAGCTCGTTGGTCTTCTCCAGTAGGTCTTTGGATTTGTGATATTTGACATAAATCTACATCTTCTAAGCATCTTATGTCCGATGCACTGCCATCTTCTCGCTCCCCACAGTCTGTTGCATAAGGCAATGATAGTAGGCAGCCTTGTATTACTTCTATATTCACTTCAAAATCTTCGCTGAGATTTCGGTTGTGATTCCCTTGGCATGTAGTACCATCATATAACTGTTAAACAAGATTTACAAAGGTTTTGGGAACTCGATAGTGTTGAAGCAGTTCCCGAATTGTTTCCTGGGTTTTACACTGTCTAAAGTTTTTTCATAGTTAATGAAGTCGAGATAGAGATGGAACTGTGATTCTGTGCTCTGTCCTGTAATGCGTCGTTACGTTGCAATTCGATCTACACATGACTTACTTTTCCAGAGCATTACTTTAAACTTATTTATGCTCATTTGATTGAATTTTAGATTTTCCTATCAGTTGATTGGACCGAAGGACTCGGTCTCAAGTTGCCATGTCTGTCGGCTTCTTGTGCAGATGCTTCGACGATATCTGGGCATGCAATTAGAATTTAATTGGTGGATGGTGACTGACTAGCAATGGAATCCAGGATAACGCTCATTTCGTCCCATAGGCACTGGGTTCGAGCCTCGGTGGGAACACCATCACTCACTGCGGAATGCAAGCACACCCAGATGACGAGTCCCAAATAAGACGAAATGTGCGTCGTCCTGGATTCCACTGCTAGTCAGCCACCATCCACCAATTATTTATGCTCATTTCAATATTATTTCGATCAGTGTGTTTTCTCCCTCATGTCATAGTAGCAGTATTTTAAATTACGGATTGAAAGGGCATCTTTTTCATCTTCATCCTTATAAGAAATGAGATGTTATTGTTATATAAATATTATTACTATTGTATCCGTATTTTTTTTCCAGGGTATATGTAAAAGTCTTTAGTCATGCAAGTGGAATACAAATTCCAAGTGGAATATGCTAAAAGCAATCGATCCAGATGTAATAAATGCAAGATTGAAATTGATCAAAATTCTCTACGTATTGCAAGACTTGTACAAGCACCAAATTTCGATGGGAAAATTCCTAGATGGTTTCATTATCATTGTTTTTGGGGAGGAAAATCGCCTATTGAAAGCACCGCAGAGATTAAACACTTTGACTCTATTCGATGGGAAGATCAAGAAAAGATTAGAAAAGCAATTGCTGGTGGTGTTGGTGGAGGCGTAGGAGCAGGACTATCTTCTCCCAAAGCTTCTACTCGTAAATTTACTGTGAAATTATCGGATAGTGATTTACCGTGTAGTCATTGTGAAAAGCCACTAATACAGGTAAGTATTAATGCCTATTGAGAATTTTTCGTCTCCACTTTTGTGGTTGTCTCTCTATTCGCAGTTATATATAAAGGAAGGATCAGGTAATTTTGTCGTGGTTATCGCGAAGCTGCGGATCATTAATTTTATGCTATTAACGTCTGCACTCAGCATGAAAAATAAGATCCGGATTTTCAATTCCAATGTTAAGTCAGTCAGTGCTACTATACGGATCAGAGACTTGCCGTGTCATAAAGAGCACCTCAAACAAACTACAGACCTTCATCAACAGCTGTCTTCGCTCAATACTACTCAAGAAAAGATCAGCAACATGGAGGGATCTCTGGCAATGAGCGAACCAACCCACCAGGAACCAATTGTGCAACAAATAAGCAGGAAGAAATGGAGGTGGATTGGCCATACTCTAAGGGAACCATCAAGTGACATCACTAGACAAGCCATTGCTCGAGTGGAACCCAAAAGGGAAGCGGCGAGTTGGTCGTCAGTGCAAGGGTGACTTGGAGGAGGTCAAGTGAAGAGCAGATGAGAGCATGTGGGCAGACTTGGAACCAGGTGAAAAATTTAGCAGAGAACCGAACGCAATGGAGACGTGCAGCTGAAGTCCTATCTTCCTCTAGGAATTAAAGGAAATAATAATAATAATAGTGGTAAGCAACGTGCCACTTAGCCAGCTTGTTAATATTCTGGTCGACAGGCACATGGACTCATGTGAAAAATGGGCCAAGTCCATTTTATCTAACTCACACCACCCTCTTCACTCACAACTCTCCCCTTGCATCTCATCAGGTAAAACCAGAAGCCTATATAGGAAACTATATGCTCGCACCAGCAAGTACAAAAACTCAACCATACCCTACTTAGCTCGTGTTCTGTGTGATAAAGAAAGCATTAGGCGTCAGACCTATAATTCATTAAATAGTCAGTAGTACAACTGGACCTCGTCTTTCCAACTCACATCATCAATAGGTACAACATTTTCTTTCTTTCTTTTCCTTTTCTCTCTCTTCTTTTCCTGTTGTGTGCTGCTTTGTTCCTTTCTCTCGCTTACGCCAGTTAATAAGACAGCTCCCACTTTTCTAACACCTTCAAACACTGTTTCAGCTTTACCTTTGCTACCGACATGCCAATGTATTGTTGTAATAATGAACTGTGGTTTCCTTAATCTATGTAGAATTCTATTTATTGATAATGTACTAACTGGATGCAATACTGTAGTAAAAATGCTGAGAATTCCATTCTGTATCACATGTACTGTTTTGGAATAAAGCAAATCACGAGTTGAAACCATGCCCCATCACTATTGCTGTTTGGACAGCCTCAATAGTTAGTCAATAACCCCCACACAACTGGTGTAGCTCATCGCCAAATGTATCGAGTCGCAATTAGTTGTTGAATAACATTGTTGTATTATAGGTTATCAGAAGGGGATGTATATTTGTCAATACTATTAAACAGTTCAGAATTGAGAAGTGAATTTTACTGTAACCTACCTACTTTTATGATGCTGTTAAGATTTAAGTAGTTCACGTGCTTGATGCCATTCTTTGTTGTTGAAATGGGTGTGAAATTCGACTGTACAAAAAGGCGTTTTGTGAAGTCAAATTAAAGAACGAAATCATGTACTCACAGTTAATATGTGCGTGTAAAACTGTGGTAGTATGTAATTCCAAATTAATATTTTTTTCCAATCGAATATATTACAATGAAACAGCATGATTTACTGTGGATAAATATGCAGACTTAATAGATTTAGGAGACGAGAAAGACCGAATGCATCCGCGCCTTTGAGTTATATCACCATCAGTCTTAAGCGATTGGTTCTTGGCTTGTGGGGGAACCCAGACTGCCTGCCTGCCAGTCTACACTTCTATATGTGGCTTAAATCAATAGTCAAAGACTTGATGTGATGATATCAGGTATCGATCTGACCACCGCTCCGTCCTCCTTTATGGCTGTGAGACCTGGCCATTGAGAGCGGAAGACATGAAAAGAGTAGCTGTCTTTGATCATAGGTGTCTGCGTTCTATCTCCCATGTGAAGTGGTATTATAAGGTGAAAAATATTGAGGTTAGGCGTCGAGTGCTAGGTAAGGAGCGGAAATCAATCGACGAGACTGAAATTACATCGATTGAGATGGTTAGGATATGTGTTACGTATGCCTAGTCATCGCCTTCCTCGACAATGGGCAATGTTAGCTGACTGACATAGGGTCAGGTTGGAAAAGAGCTAGAGGCGGTTAAACCAAAACATGGCACCAGTCAATGAAATCTACAACAGTTAGTTTAAGCCACGTAGGAAGGTGTAGACCTCCTGACTGGTTGGGGTCCTAGGGACGGTGAAAACCAATGGTTGGAAACAATTGGTGACATGGCTCAAACTCATCGTTCCCAATGGCTAGCGCAGATGCATCCACTCCTTGTGACTTATAATTTCCAATTAAACTATAATGTTCTTCCTTATTACTACTCCTTTGTCTCATACCTCAACTTACTGTCTCTATTACGGATTTCTTCTACTTTCTTCTCTTACTTTGTGTGCTACATGAAGTGTGGCGACTCGAACTGCCGCACATATTTGCAAAGTTCTATGTCGAAAACAGATAGACAGACAGACAGACCATTAACTCTTTTATTCAATATAATCCTATGTCAGCTAACATTTTCTCGTCGAGGAATTCAGTAGCTCAGCATGGGTAACACGTGTCTTAACCATCTCAATCGACGCAGACTGGCAAGAGCACTCCTCAGTCAACAGTTGATGAACTCATGTGTTAGTATCATTTATTAGTGATGTACTAATTATGTTCTACATTTCACACGCACAAACACTCGTATTCGTTTCTTTAATTCGTTTAATTTTACAGGAACGTCATACAATATGTGAGTCTGGTAAGAAGGCTACGTTTGCGTGTCATCTATCTTGTTTCCTGAAAAGTAATGAATGTCTTGAAGATATATCACAGTAAGTTACTTTCTTTATAGTGTAACCTGTATTCAAAATACAAATTTCATGATATATATGTATATATACATTAAAAGTCATGTTAGTTTTGTGTTTGTAGTGTGTTTACTAGCTATTGCAAATTCAAAGCTAATAATATGGGATTAATTACTACCTGACATCAGTTACAGAACCATGGGAGTACTGGAAGACTGTTTCGTCCTGTTTCAGGACTCTTCAACAGTACGGACCCACCCCCACCCGTTCAATACACTAAGTTACCTGGGGTTTAATGAGAAGTCGTAACCAGTAGGGTCCACCAAGTCACACTAGAAGACAGTTACTCGCGGTTGCGCCAGATATTTATCACGAATTGGCGCAAGTTGGAATTCATGGACCCATTGGGTTGGGTCCCAGTGGCTTCATGGTCTACAAGCTTGCCTCGTGACCGGAGGCTCCTGGGTTCAAATCCTGGCGATAGGTGCGTAGTGATGGGCAGTCCGTAAATAGTACGAAACAGCTATTCCATTACTCCCATGGTTCTCTAACTGATGTCAGCTCATGATCTCAATCCTGTGACCAATCAAACCCTTGCAACACCAACACTTGAGTTCCTTTGACGTTAAAGTTTTGGGTTCAGTAAAGTTGATTAGTTATGTGAGTATTGAATTCAGTTATTGTTTCATAGTTCTTGTAAAGGCTGAAATACTGTACAGATGCTCAACTCATCATATCTGCTGTACAATTGTGCACATTCATAATCCCTTGTTTGTGAGGTGTCTTACAATTTCCAATGTCAGCTCATGATGAAATCCTGTAACCAATCAATCGAATTTCTACAAACCAATACTTGAATATCAATGAGATGCTCACTAGCGACTGGCCCTCTTCAGGTAGGTAGTTACCTGGGGTTCTAGTGGGACGTCGTGACCAGTGGGATACAGTAGGTCGGGCGTGAGATAAAATACTCGCCGAAGACATTGGCTATCGGTCGCGCTATGTCGTAAATTGGCAGAGGTTAGAATTCATGGGCTGGCCATTGGATCGGGTCCCAGTGGCTTAATGGTCTACGAGCTAGCTCTCCCCTAGGTTCCGAGTTCAACATGGGGCTACAACAGTAGATCTCCACTTTGTCCTGTTGCCTCCTTCAATCCTCTGTAGTTGGCCCCACGGTTGTTCACTGGCTCTCACTTCAGATGATCGACCCCATGTCACCCTAGGAGTGATACCCAACTGGTTGTTCTCCTTTCGGGTTCCGATAGAGGGCCTGGCGCCTGATGTCTACCAGCAGTCTCATTACCATGTGTCCGATGCATTTCCA